CCCCAAAACCCCAAAACCCCAAAACCCCAAAACCCCAAAACCCCATTAGGTGATTATGATTATCAGTAAGTTAATAAAGAAAATTAGTAATTTAAAGTCAATATTCAATGTATTGTCTATATTTATATTTACTGTTTAAAAGAAAAACAGATTTACTACTGATATTCTTGAAGTCCTTAATTAGATCATTATAGGTATCATACCTGAGAGAATCATTATAAGCCAACTTTTTCATTGAATCATCACTATATAAAAGAGGCCCTTTCTTGGTATTAAACTGTATTTGCATCCCACCTAATACCCCCGTACCTGTTTATATCTTAACTAAATCATCTATATTGTTGTCTTTATTCTCTTCTTGCTTTTTCTTTCTTTTTGGAAATTTTACAGGCTCATAAGGTTGACCACTAAATATCTATCTAAATCTAGAATCCTGTCGAATCAATTATTTTGTTTTTTCATTTGTAATCTATTTCATATCTAGATTTTTGTGGCTCTCTTCCTTCTCTACATGGTCAAAAGAACTATTTTGAGTTAGAGTAGTCTTTTGTATACCATCACCTAGAATTAGTGGATCTTTCATTTCGAATTCCTGATGAAATACTCTTGCTAAAGAGGAGACTTAGTTTGCTTTATTCAGATATCTTGAACTCTATACATTCTAAACGCATTGCTTTACTATTTCAGAAAGGTCTTTATCAAACCTTTTACTTACATTTGTAGATTGTTGCATGTTGTTTGATTGTGAAAATAGCATACTGCTATTATTGTGATGAATTTAACTACCCTAGAAGTCACTCCCTAATGAAGTTGGTCTTTATTTTTATTGACTTAGTAGTTTATAAGCAAGTCTGTTTATTAATAGATTTTTTTAGGGGGTTTATGAGCTCACTCGACTAAATCTGTTTTTCTAAAAAACACTTTTTTCTCCATTATTATTTGATAAAAGACTTTGATTTTTTACACTTTAAGGTAGTACTTAAGCATTTTAAAGATAATCAAGTGATTTTTCATGTTAACTCTAATTTTTAGAAAGTAACTTTTATTCTTTAGCTTTTTTGAATTAATCTTGTCGTTTTTTTATTTATTTGAATACATCATGAAAATCAGCATAAGAAGAGTTCATAAGAGAAGTTTCTTCAGAATTTAGAAGCTTGCTTGACTAGTTATTTTAGCCTTGCATGTTTAGGTCTTAATTAAGTTCTTTTTTCTCCTCACCAATATCATTTGACAATTTTGAATCATCATCTTGAACGTCAAGGAGTATATTGTCAGATGATTTTTGTAAATCAGCTAATTCAGCTTAAAAATAATTGGTTAAAGCTTAATTTATAGTTCCAGGAGTATGGGACTTCATAGGTATTGGCTTAAATCCATGTTCATCTTCAAATTTCTTAAGAGCTTGCTCCTTAGTTTCATTAAATTTTCCATCAAAAGCCCTTATCTCATACTTAAATAATAAAGTGTGATTTGTTTAGGCTTGTGGCTAAACATTGAAAGAATTATTCATGTTCTTTCATCTTCCAGATTGTTATGGGTGATCTCCATCGCCCGACTTATAATTTGGCCTTAAAGGAGGCTCTTAAATTCCAAATTGATAGCCTCTACTCCCAATACTACTAGTATTGTTAGAGAATACTTCTAGGATAATTGGTGATTTAGTGGGTAATTTTAAAAAAGCTTTACTCCCTAAGAACTAATTCTAAATCTAAATTCTCTCAAGTGCTAACCTCTCAGCCTCTTCTCTCTGTTTTACTTTATCGCTTTTCTAATACTTTCTTTTATTCCCAACATTCACAGTATTGTTGTTATTACCTAATGCACCATTAGCGAAAAGTGAAGTTTCCTTTCTTTACAAAGCTATGCTCATTTATTAATGTGGAGAAGTTTGTTGATTCTGGGTATTTTGAACTGATTTTTATATTATAGTCATGTCAGCATTAGTACTCAAAGTAGTTTTTGGAAGAGTCAATCTCTTTTGAAAACTGTTATCTCTCAACGGTGCTAATTTATTTTTAAACTAAGATTACTAAGCACTGTTTTATGGAGTAGGCTAGATAAAATTAAAAGACATCCGAGAATCTTGAGTGTGCTGCCTATCAATATTTTGATTTTTATTAGACTAAAATCACATAGAGCTCTTAGAACCTAGATACTTCAATAAAATGGTTGAAGATAATCATACTTTCTAACGAATCGATAAAATCAAGATTATTAGTCATTCTATTGGTAATTTTCATTTTTATAATGGTAATATGAATTATTAATTAAAATAAACTACTTTTTTATATTTTAAGTATATTTAGTTAAAACATCCCAAAGTGATAAAAATCATTCATAAATTAAACTCATGAAAACTTTTTTTAGGAAAAGTAGAATTAACAGGTGATTTGAGTCATAAATCTTTATCATTATTTCGATTAATATTACTCTAGTTCTGTGCTAATAAAATTCTCATTGTCGCTACATTATTATGATAATTGAAATTCAGAGCTATTCCGATATAATTGTAATTGGGATTAGTTAGCTCTCTATGAAAATACTGTTACTTTTTAATCGACTAAATAAAAACCTCAAAGAATTCTCTAAGTGTTGTAATTACTAAATCCTCTCTGCAAACAAAATCAACGACCATTTCCTTAATACCCTTAAAACTGAAAGCAGAAGACATCAAAGTTTTTTTCTTTTGAGCTAAAGAATTTGCGATTCGTGATACATTACTGCTGTTCTAATCAGCATCTGAAGCTGAAGCATTCATTGATTTTTTCGAGTCCTGATTACTTTATTTGAATCTTAGCTTAGATGAGAATTACTCTTAGCACATTATACACAGCTCCTCATTAATCTCAAGAGGATGAGTTGGCTCAACTGCCTATAGGAGATTTATACAAGCATCAACATCACTAGAAAAGAACATCATAGTCCTTGGCTTTGAGCCGCTCCTATTATCAAGTTTGATTCTCATATTCTCCATCTAGTTAAGAAATATTTTGGGTTTGACCCTCAGTAAGTTTATTATCATAAGAATCATCATTTCTTTCTTGTGTTTTAAGTATTCTTGATTTACATCTGGGAGATTCAAAGACTGATATATATCCAAGACATTTTCAAAGGTAGGTACTGAATTAAGATTATAGATATCTAGTTCACCTATATTATCTAATTTACCTCTTTATACACAACAACCCATTAAGAATTTTAAACTTAATTATTAGAATTATTGCAAATTAAATATTAAACTACTATATAATGCTCTAGCAATCAGAGTTATAGTTGATATTTGTCATGCTAGTGAATTCATTGCTTTATTAATAATACTCATTTAGCCCATTTAATACTATTTATATTAGATTATCTTGTAGTTCCTCATAAAATTGAGTTTGGTCTCTCTCTTTTCAATATATCTTCGGCCTCATTAGTACAATTTGAATCTGTTAAGTACAAAAGTTGTAATGAGCTTTTCAATGTTCTATGCGCTCTAAAGGAAATGCCTATCTTTGTGACTTTTTTATCTATCATAGGCATTGTGTCATCTCCGGAGCATTGACAACCACCTATTAATATAAATAATGCGAGCTCCTCAGCAGTGCCTTCCCACCCTATTTCAGTATACTCATAGACTGGTTCGTCTTAATAATTGCTTTCGTATTATATGGAATTTCTCTTGGAATTGTGATCGATAATGCTGTTTTGATTATGATCTGTTTGTATACTATTATATTTTGATTCTTTTGGATTTTTTTCGCATTCCAACTCTCCTAGAATGCTTCGTCTAACTCCACCAGTACCTCCACAACCACTAGTCATCTCAAAGTATTGATTTTTTGGATTATCTTTCTGAAATATTTCACGATAAACTTTTCGAATTCTATAACAATTAGGGTATTCTTTGTCTTTCATCTCATCATTAACTTTTCTACATGCTATGTTTCCAGTATCACTTATCTATAGCATTGGTACATCTTTCAAACCTTTCATTATACTAATGACTAGCTCAATATTAGCTCCTGTGTAATGCTAATTGTCTCGCGCTTTTTATATGTATGGTATAAACCACAATGGATCTTGCCTAATCAAGCATATAGTTTTATAGAGAGTCAATTCAAATTCATTTTCAAAATTAGATGTTAAAATATCAGGCATCTTTTAAATCTTCCATCTCTCGATGACGTTTAATTACTTGTATTTATCTTTAGAATTTTTACAGCCCATTTATATACCTAAGTTATTTATTAAAAATGCTTGATTAATATTTCTATCAAATTTTCTGTTTGTTATATCTGATAGTAACTCTACGGGGTTTTGGGGTTTTGGGGTTTTGGGGTTTTGGGG